GCCGTCGTTTGGTCGTCGGCCGTCGTTCGGTCGTCGATCAGCCGTCGATCGGCTGGTTTTTTTAGTTCGCCTTGCAGAAGCGCAGCTACGGGGCAAATTGCAAGCTTTAGCTCTCGGATCCTTCGCAGGACGAGGTCGTTTTCTGGACGGACGAGTGTCAGAAGCCCCGCAGCTGCATCGAAACCCGTTTGGGGAATCCCTTCTAAAGAGAGAGTTGCATCAATTTGGCGCCCGGGTGTGTACAGCTGGCAAAGCGTTGACTTCAACCCCCGACCTTATAGCGGACGCTCTCGGTGAGAAGATACGCTGCATTCATTTTACGTCAACGACTGACATGTCTGTGCAGTTTGACATGTTCGTAGGTGCGGTTGCTTGGTTTTGGCGCCCTAGCGGGGGAAGGAGAAGGAGAAGGAGAAAAAGGAGGAGGAGGAGGAGAAGGAGAAGGAGGAGGAGGAGGTGGAGGAGAACACGAACACGAACACAAACAAGAACAGGAACAACAGCGAGAACAAGAACAAAAACAACCAGAACATGTTTGGACAAATAGGGCAACACATTCGGAAACAGGAGCTGTGACTCACAGCCAAGAACTCTAGTGGTTGTCAATAATCATGATTGTGCAACTCAAGCTCTAATGAGAGAATGTCATGAACCCCCAATTTTTTGTCGATTAGATTTGACAAGTTTCATTTTGCCGTGGCACAAGTCCCCAATCTCCGAACTCCTCCTTGCACACATCAATGATCAGTTCTCGCGCTGTTTTCTTGCCAGTTGCATTGGTTTTTAAGAGAGCCGACTGCCATAAGACTCATAAGGCTGGTTTTTGGCCCCGTTCAGTACAATGCGGGCAATTGCCAAAATTTTCAACTTTGGCTTTCCAATATACCGGAGGTTGGCACGTCGCTTCTTTTCGGCTCTGGACCAAGGGCCAAACATGAAGAAAAAGGGCCCCCGAGAGCAACAGGGACATCTAATAACACGCAAAGGAACCTCAAAAGCTCGTATTGCATCCATTCTTTTTCGTGTCAAGCATTCATACCGGCAAAGTGTGGCGACCCAAAAAACACAGGCGTTTATTGTTCCTTTCACAAGAAACCATGTAATTCACTTCAACCCCAAAGAATGTTGGCAGAACTTGCTTCGCATGGACATTGAGGCGCTTGGGATTTGGGAGGTTTTGGGCTGTCGTTTTTTCGCAACCCATGGGCCGGGAGCAGAAGCGGCGGCAAGAGGCCCGCAAAGCCAAGCAGCTGGTGCAGAGTGGGAAGGCGGAACGCAGGCCCTGTGGGGTCCTGCCACTTGAGGAAGGGGTGCATCGAAGCCAGCCCTACACGTGCGTCGGTTGCGATGAGGTGCACGTAGAATGTTGTGATTTGCAGTTTGGAGCCAAGGACGAAGTGGCAATTATCATGTTGCCAAACCCGACAAACCCGCCGTAGAAATTTGTTTGACGGGGTTTGCCCACTAAACACTCTTTGCCAAACCTCTTCACGTCGCTCCCTAGGATATTCGCAGTTGGAGGCATCCAAATGCAGTGCTCGTTCTACACCTTTGCTTTGTTGGTGCGGACAGCTCCAACTTCAGTTGTAGACCAGTCGATTGTCAGCCCCCTGATATCTCATGTAGATGACTAGCCGTTTAGGTTTGCCAGGAGTTCAACGTGGACTTTTGATGCGCATGTTGGTCTAGCACTCAGAGTTGTTGAGTTCAACAACACGGAAAGCAACCTTAGAGCAGCCCTAAACTTTGTTGTAAGGGCATTTTTCGCGCATAAATATGTTCCTCGACTGTTTATTGTTTTGCCCCCTTGTCAAACTGACACATGCGTTTTGGCTATATCTAGTTGGTGAGGGTTTGACTTGAGCAAGCAAGAACCTGCAAATGTGGCAAGGCCGCTTCTGCCAGAAGAGGCTGCGGACCTCTTTTCCGCCATCGACAAGGGCGAGGTGGGGCACAAGAACAAGAAACGGCCAGTGGGGGTGTCTTTGTTTTGAGGGTTGGGGTTGCTTTGAAGGGAAGCCGACGGGAAATCGCGATTCTGGGAGTCTCTCATTTCAACTTTTGCGCATGGAGCCTCTGGTGTCACCCAGTCCGTTTCGCTCCTTGCTTCCGAAAGCGGTAGAAATTCCCGCACCGATTGCTGCACTCAAGCATCAATTGCAGCGCTGCTTTCCCAAAAGTCTTGCGCCATGTGGAACCTTTTCCTTTCAGACTTCCTGAAATCAAGCAAACCTCAACCCCGATCACGCTTCCCGCTAACCTGAGTGAGGCCCCGAGGCTCCCCTTCCCACCTTCGGGAGGTGCAGAGCTTCGGCATCGCGCGGCTGGCTGGCTTGCGGCTGGACGACCTGCACCAGGCGCGGAGAGACATTCGCTGAGCCTTAAAATGTCTCATTCGATGAGACGAGTCCTATCTATTTCATGCTTTCTCTCTTTCTCGTCTCATCCTCTCCCTCTTCCTATCTTATGCCTTTCCAAGTAATGGTGCCAACTGATTAGTAAACCCCCCTCCCCCCCCCCTTCAAGGTTGACAAGGTTTGGACAAGTCCCAAAAAATGAGATTTTTGGGAGGACCCCCCTGATTAGTCTGGAGCCCCTGCGGTCCTCGTCCTCTTACTTCTGGTCCCTTCAGGGCAGTAGGACTTTAAAAGGCAACAGCATATTTTGTGGGTTTTGAGCCCAAAAGACCCCTGACTAATCGCGGGGGGTTTTCTGTTAATGAGGGGGGACTGGCCTCCAAGGGGGGTCCCCTTTGTGAGCTTGAAAACCTTGTCATTTTAAACAAATTTTAATAAGGAAAATTGCATTTCGGGGGAAGCACATTTTTTTTGAAAACTTGAGGGGTTCAATAGTGACTTAGTATTGGTGGGTTTAAGCACAGACTCAGCAAATACTAAGCAAGAAGGAAAGCACCTTTCTGGCAGGTTTTGTTGGCTTGGGGGCTGCAGAGGGATACCTTTAATCAGGGGGGGTTTTGGGGAGGGCTCAAAAATTATTGGGTAGGGTTTTTTGGGGAAATCTTGTTGGCCCTTTACTTTAGTGTTGGTTAGAACCTGGGGGGGAAAAGGGGAAACCTTTAATCGGGGGGGGTTTACTAATCGTCTGCTGACATTAACAGATTCTCAGGGAAGACACTGGAAGGCATTAGGAAGGGAAAAGGAAAGGCTATCCCTTCTATCTACTCATCTTAATCACATGCCGAGAGATAGCGTGTAGATGGGTAGAAGGGATGGGAATGGAGAGATGGGAAACTCGGGAAATGCATCTGGAATCCTTTTAATCGGATTTCCTGTCACTTAGAGTTCCCATCCATCTCTCTTTGCTTTTCTCTTTCCTTAATACCTTCACCAGGATTTTAGAGTGGAGAGGCATGAAGGAAATGGACAAGTTCACATGAAAGTGATGTCCAAGAGCCAGTCAGGGAAGGCCTCGGTGAAATGGTCTGACATTAACTCTGTTCCCTTCTATCTCCTACCTCCATTCGATCCAAGATATGACAGAGAATGGAGGAAGAGGGAGCCATCATAAAACCATTTTGTCTCCACAAGATAATTTTGCCAAGTCTCTTTTTTCCCCAACAGCTGAAAGCTTTGGGGTCTCAGCCCAGATAGGCTCCGGGGTGGTCCGGGGCGGCCCTGAGGTAAGGTTCCACGAGGGTTCCACGAGGGTTCCAGCCCGCTTGCACCACGGGACCATTGGGCCCCGGTCGGGCCCCGATTCCACAATCGGGCCCCGATCGGGCCCCGATTGCGCCGTCGGGCCCCGATCAGGCCCGATTGTGACGTCGGGCCCGATCGGGCTTTGATTGTGCTGTCGGGCCCCAATTAGGGCGCGATTGCGCTGTCACTCTTAGCTTTGCTTCATAAAGTTACAAGGCGGTGAGCTGGGTCCCGGGGCGGGTGTGGTGCTGTTGGGGATATCGCCTGAGCTTATTTTTTTGTTTTTGTTTTTTTGTTTCATCTGGGAAACAGATGATGTCCAGAAGCAAAAAATGGATCTCCGAATCTGGGAAAGAAATATGTGGACACCACATTCTGGATGGCTTCCTTCTCACCTGAACCCCATTCCTCCCCCCCCCATCCGTTTTTCCGAGCCGTCGGGACCCCGAGTAGGCGCCTTGGTGCTTTGCCTGGGGCCCAGCTTCGCGGATGACCTTGGCGGACTTTGCCGCGCTCCGGGGCCGGGACTCCTTCGTCTCCGCGCTGATCACTGCTGGGGCGGACCCCTCAGGTGTAGGCGTCCAGGCGCGGGCCACGGGTTGGGCCGGCCCTCGAACGGGAAAGTTTCTCGTGAAACATGGAAGGTACTGATACCTCCTGTGGATCAACCATGCAACTCGGGTTTCCCTGCTTTGCCCCCCGCCTGAGGCGTGACGCCAGTCGTGCTAAGATTCAAGCCCAACAAACCAGACCAAGCCGCCGCAACAAGGAATTCAATTCGTGTTTTCTCCGCCGATCGCTTCGTGGACTCTTCGTTTTGGCGAAAGGTCTGGGAGAAGCTGCCTCGGGCCTACGCCTGCTGGCTGGCGCGGGCGGCTGCCCGCCTGCGGCTAGAGGCGCACGTGGTGTGGGGTTTCCCCTAGTTGAAGAAGCTGTCAGTTGTGTAGACAACCGTCAACGATGTGTGTTTTAAATAGCAATAGCAAAGATGCCAGAATTCTCACATCGCTGCCTCGTACTAAAACGCACGGGGGGGGGGGGGGGGGGGGGGGGGGCGGGACTATTTCAATCCTTGATTTGGGGTAACATTTTGACTGGCTATTGCGTCAGGTTTTTGGCACGGTTTTCGACTCGAGTCTCTACACATTCGACCTTTCAATAAGTTCGGGCTCGTCTTCCCCGATTGCTAGTTGACCTCAAGGCCACTCCAGATACCTGCAGATGCGGCGGCCCTGGGGCAGAGTTTCCACCCTGCGGGCACCGTTGCTGCGCGCGCTGCTTTTGGTCGCCCTTCAAAGACTTTGTGAGCGGCCGGCTGCCTGAGCTGACGTGCTTCTGCGGCCAGCGCTTGGAGGACCTGGCAACTATCTGAATCGGACCATTGAAGCCTCGGCCCATGGTTTCTCGATTTCTTTTCCAGGCTTCGTTTTGTGTGTTGTGCGGTTTCCGATGTTGTTTTGTGTTTTGTTTTGTGCGGTTTCCGATGCGCCGCTCGAGGATTCCTCCTTGGAGTTCCCGGCCCAGCGCCGGGGCATCCTGCGCCTGGGCCCGGCTTCGGGAGAGTCCTGCCGGACCTGCCGCTGCCGCCTGCCGCTTTCGCGCGACAGCGACAGCGCCTGCCTCAACTGCGCGCAGCCGCCATTTGCGGCGCCCAAACCGGCGAAGCCAGCGGAGAGGATCGGGCTCCCCCCCCCCGCCCACCCCAAAACCACATTTTTCCACTTTGGAAAGGTGGATCCGTTTCACTGGATCCCACAAATCCCGCCAATGGAACTTGTGAATAGAAGCTTAGTGACGTGACCCCTGGAGGATTGCGTCGGCGTCTTCTCTCTGCGGGGATTTGTCAGGACTGCTGCCGAGCTGCTGGCGCCTGTGGCGGCGCGCGCGCACAGTGCGGCGCTGGAAAAGTTTGCCGGAGGAGCTGCCGCAAGACTTGCAGGACGCGGGCTCATTTCGACACCCTGTTCAAAAGTCGGCCCAGTTTTATTTTTTTTGAAACAAACCGACCAAAAGAGGAAGTCCTTTTTTGTTTGAAAGGTTCTTTGTCAAAGGTTTGTCTAGGTGAACTGACTGGCGTCTCGACAGCCGTGCATTGTCTGAGCAAGTTTTTGGACCCAACAACTGCCTTTCCACGCCGATTTCCGGTACAAAAGGAGCGCCAGAAGCTTCAAGCGGCTTGGGATTTGAAGGCAAATGGAAGCGGGAAGCGCATGGCCGGTGCCTTCAAAGCGCTCAGCCCTGCCCAGGCGGGGAGGTCCGACGCTGATTGAATGCGCATGGCAATCTGATTGGGACGCCTATGAAAAGGAACCATGGCTTACAGGAGTTGTGACTATGGCGCATAGAAGGAACCAAAGGGAGGCACCGGCAAAAAACCTTACCGCCTAGAATATGTATGCGTAACATTGATTTGGAATTCATGATAGAAGGGGTTCCCCCCCCAACATGTTTTGCTTCCATTCCATTTGGTCCTCCTTTCAGTCAACCCCAGAAAGAGCACCATTTGAACCGCGAGGAACCCACACAAATAACATAAATTAGAAGGAACTGGTGGCTCGTGTTTTTTGTGCCCTTTTTGTCTTTTGCAATTTGGCTTGCAAAACGACACCCGAATCCATGGGCGCTATGAGAGGGACGTCTCCCAGTCGGCAGGTGGCTACCGAGAAGCTGGGCCTCACCCGCTCCGCGCGCTCCGAGCGCCTCAGACTTGCCGCGGAAGTGGGGGACGCGCGGCGCGTGGAGGCGTTGCTGGAGGCGGGCTGCGACCTGGACGCCCCCAACGCGCCTCGGGCTTCTTAAAGCGGCGGTTTGGCGTGGCGTTTCACTCAGAAAAGGCGGGGGACCAGGAGCTCGGCATGGCTCTACTCGTACTGTGCTATTCCTCACCGTGGTCATTGGCTCGCCCGATGTGTTGAATTTCTGGATTGCGACAATTTCTACGTTCTCCGCGAACTAAGTCTTTTGTTCGTATAACGGATGTTTCTCACTTTTCAGTATGCCTGGTGAAGCCCCTACCATGGCGACAGGCAGCAGTCCGTTTGGAGCCATCGATGCTAGCGGTGTTTGTGATGCCCGCGATGCCAGCGATGCAGATCATGTATCTATTTTATTTGATTCTAGTGAATGCCAGCGATCCCAGCTATGAAGATGCTGTATGTGGAGAGTGTTCTTTTTTTTCTGACTCTTGCTGTTTGGCCTTAGCTTTTCGTGTAAGCATTCTTCGTATTTTCATATGTGCTCTTTGACCGAGGAGTACGGCCAGAGCCCAGTCTTTCTTGCGGCTGTGGAGGGCCAGGTGGAAGCGCTGGAGGCTCGTTCGCTCGATGTAGATCAATCATACCAATTCGGGGGTGCTCAGGGTGGAGCAGCCATTGTTTGACCAACCAGAGGCCCCTTTAATTAAGCGGCACCCAACACAGACTCTGGAGTCCTCAGATATGGCCGCAGGGGTTTTATGTATTCCTGTGGCCTAAACGTGTCCCAGTGGAGTGGTTGGGCCGTGTATGTTTTTAGGGGACCCTTCACATTGGCTAGCAGCCCTCAAATGCGACACCAGGTGCTGCTGGCCTGGGGCGCGGACCCGCGGAAGCTCTGCAGCCAGGCTTCGGCCTGGTCGGCGGCGCGGTGCCGCGGCCACGCGGAGGTGTGCCGAAGCCTGGAGAGGCGACGCCTGGCGCGGGATTTGGAGGCGGCGTGCCAAGGGCGTGGCATTTGTTCACGGTTTTGGTGTTGGAGATGCAAGGAGCTGCTTCTTTGTTTGCCATTTTGGGGGTTGAGGGGAGGTTCTTCGCGGCGGCACAGTTTGGTGACCGCAACGAACGCGCGCGGTCGGGTGAATCCAAGACTTTGGCTTCCCAGCAACCGATGGAACTTCTTAAGTCGAATGGCTCGTCCGTCCCATTTATTGTCTATTTTACATATATATATATATGTATCGATACACCGGGATTTGTCATCCTTCAACTTGACGGAAAACAATCATTATTCCACGTGATTGATTATTCCGGGATCGGCATAATTATCTTAGACATTTGCGATGCCCTTGGTTTTCTGTGCGCAAGTGGCCAACATGCTTGACACCCCCCCATATCGGGAATCGCCCTCTGAAGCTGGGAAAGACATGTTCGGGAGACATGGAGTTTCGTTTGGCAGAGACACAGAGATCCAGAAGCACGACATTACAAAAGTCAGTGACAAATTCACAAAGATACAGAGGTGCAGATTCACCGAGCCACAAGAAGAGAGCGAGTGAGCCGCGTTCTTTGTGTCTAGGCTAACCGATTGCCGACTGTTTGTTGGGTGCTCAAACAGTGGCTTTTTGTTTGGTACAGACCATGACGGGTCTTATGGGTTGTCCTAAACTCCAGGAGTCTCAAACAAGACCCTTTAAGATGGTCTCCCCTACTGGCGGTGACAATATGTTTGATCCCTGGGTTCTCCCCAAAATATTGCATCAACTTGAATCATCTTGGTACCCAAAGTCCGCTTGGATTGTAAGACCATGGAGAGTTCCCAAAAGTCTAAGTCTAATATCTCTTGTATATTCACCTTAGTACCAAAAGCAAAAGCTCGTGCAAACCTCAATACGCCAGGACATGCGAAGCTACAAATGGTATACCAAACGGATCTTCTTCGTTGACAGTCCACGGGCTGGGTAACTTCGTACTTCGGCTTCCAAAGGGCTCCGGTGACACTGAAGGTGCGGGCATGTAAGATCCAAGACCCGGTTTTGGAGGAGAAAATCGGGGCTTGGCCATGCATGGGCCAAGCCGTTGGCCTTGCCCAAAAAAGGGGGTGCTGGTTGTTTGCCACCAACATAATTTTCCGAAAAGTGAGAACAAAGGAACTCGCGGACACCATTGAAAAAATAGCTGCCCAAATCGTGCAGCTCAGGAGTTGGCCCCGACACTTGGCCGCCGCACGTGCCATCTCCTCCGTGCAGCAGGCGCTCAATCCCTGGGATGGTCCGATGCCCTATTTGTTTGTGTCTTGACGCCTGACTTGTTGCGAGTCCTACGAAGCCCACATTCCTTACTTCGAACTTGTGGAACACGGGCGCGGTGGTGACTCCTGTAAGCAGCACTCCTTTGGCCCAGGCCCTAGGTGGATTGCATCACTTGGATTGCGGGTAAGTTGGATTGTTGGCATGTGAATGGAGCTTGGCACCTGGCCAAGTGATCCCAAGTGACCCAAGTGACCCTGGCAGGCGTTGATTCATGTTCCCTTAATTTCAGCCATTGCATTTTGGCAAACTCATCATGAATCTGGAGTGATATGACACCTTATCGCAACGGGCAGCATCATGCTGGCGAGGCCCTCAGCGCTGCAAGGGTTGCCATCTGTGAAAGGAGCACTAGATCTCAGTTCTCTCCGGTCCTTCGCGACTGTGAGCCTAGGAAACACGGACGATTTTGAGGTTTCCACGACACAGCTCTCAGCTTTGGCAGTCCCGGTGCCCGCGGGAATCGATCCCCAACCACTGTTTATACTGTGTTGCAAATATGAACACAAAAAGAACAAATGCCCCAAGAATAAGATTTAATGCAACACATGAATGATATGGATAGAGATGAGAAGACAGGTGGGGTAAAAGTACTTAGGAAGAAGTGGGCTAGAGAAAACAGTATTTAGACAAGTTTTTCGGGGAAAACACACACAACAAAAACATGGAACCGATACAATGAAGCACACTTTAACAAAACTAGATTTTGAAATCAGCTCTGGCAAAAATGACATTGCAGCTTGTATTTGACCACAATAGCTCTTCTGACTCAGTAGCAACCATTACATTGGCGGTGATATAAAGAGCCAATACAAAAACAGAATGGTTATCTCCTCTAACATTTCTCACAAGAATGCCAGCAAGTCATACTGTCTAAGTAGCGGCGCGCTACTCCATACCATCGCCTCCTGGTAAGGAAATAAGCGCGACTTGGTTGCAGGTCGCGTCTGAGGTGTCAAAAGGTTTGGAACGCGATGTGGCTGCACGCCATCCACGAAGATAGCCACCAGTGGAGCCATGCTGTGCTGATAGAGCGAGCTCCTAAAATAACTGGCCAGGAGGCATCTGGCTATCTTAGGAGGAGGTGCGACCATTTTTGCCCATGAGGCCACCTCGGTGGGTGTGCGCATCGCTGGCTTTCCGTCCACAAAAGTGATAGCCGCTGGTGGAAGAGGTTTTTGTAGTGGCAGATTCCCAGCATCAGGCTGGCTGATTTCAGGAATAGTCCGCTTCGAAGATGCGCTTAGCAGGGGGGAGCACAGTATCCTCGAGAATCAATGAAAACACAACCCCCAAGAAACAACTCAACTTGAGAAAGGGACCCCTATGGGTTTCAATTGTCCTTTCTCCACAAAGGGCACCCGCAAAGTCACACACACACACAGCAGGTGCCCGGTGCCTCTACCGCTGCCGCCGGAGGTTTCTGCGTTGGGGGCCTTCTATGCGACTCGCCGTTAGCGGATGGACCGTTTTGGGTTGGGTTTTAATGGGCGGAGTCCCTTACCCGGATCTGAACAAGAGAGATGCTTCTGCCTCGGACCCCCCAAATGCGCTCTCTGACATCTACATCATACCCGGGTCTTTGAAAGCTTTCCGCTGAATGTCCCTGTTTGTGCCTCAACAAGAGTGATCGGTTTCCTTTGGTTTTTGCTTTGCAGATTCATTTAGTCGTATAAAAAAACTTACATACATGCCTGGTTTTAGGCCGCCGTTTATATATACATACATGCAATCTTGCATCCATATATTCTTACATACAGTCATGCATGGACTCATGCATGCAATGCTCATTCATTTCTACATGCATGCATCATGTGTACGTGCGTCCATACATTCTTGCATACTTGCCTTCACGCATACATAGATTCATTACATTAGATTACATTACACCACGCCACATGATTTATTGCATGTACATTTACATTCCAGTACGTTGCACTACATTCCACTACACCACAGCACGCCACACTGCACCACGCTACGCTACACATTGCACTGCACTGCATTGCACCGGACTGCATTGCTTATGCCTTTAACGCCAAGGGCCTGAGACACTTTCTGGGATATGATCGCTCAGGTAGATGGCGCCTTTGATGAGTCATTCCTGAAATGGCTGGAGGCCAGGCACGTCGTCGAAATGCATCGGTTTGTCCTGGAAGTGGCCGTCGTGGTTTCATGAGCATCCAAGTAAAAGGCCCAAACCCAGTTTTTTTAACGCACGCAACCAGTTGAGGTTACGACTGTCCTCAGGGTCCAGCTCTAGAATTGTCCGGACTGAAGCCCTCCATGCTCAGCTGCCGCAGAGCGCTCGTCTGCCTGTGCCACAGGATCTCTGGCGAGCGCTGCCACAAGCACCATTCGAGGCGCATCTTTCTGAGATGTTGCTTGGTAGAGAAGGAAGGAGGACAATCGGTTCTCCCTGGACTGGACCCCAAGTTTGTCTGCGATGCTTCTGTCGCAGGCCGAATCTCCAGAGGAGCGCGGGGGGAAAGTTGTGGGCCTTTGGTCAACCTGAGATTTGCTTGGACACGAGTTGGTTTCTTTTGAGTTTCGTCCTTTGTGCAAGCACTTGTAAAACGGCTTTGATTCGGGGCGTGTTCCAAGAGTCATGTCACAAAGTTGGGCCCAGCCACCTTTTTCAGCCTCATCGAACCCGTCAGTTTCGCGAACCCGTCGCTTTCCGCGTCGCTTCGCTCACAGGAGCCCAAAACACGGGCTGCCAAGCGCGGGGTGGACCGCCGGACAGGGGCCGCAGACGCGGCGCCGCGGCGGAGCTACTACTTCGATGCGCTGGAGGTGGGTTGGAAGCTGAAAGCTGGGCTTCGGTTTCTGTTTGGTTTCCCTGAAGCCACGCATGCTGGCCTCAAAAAGAAGACCCTTTGCCAGGTTGCATGTTGTCAAAGGAAACCAGAAGGAATCAACTAGCAGGAGTTCCTGGACTTACCTTTCAGGAGACCATAGTTCCAACCAAACAATGGGGCGACTTTTTCGGCCCATCCTCTTACGAGAGTTCTTACCCTTGAGCAAAAAGACAACTAATTGCAAGAAGTCTGACAATAAACTAAGACGTCATAATTCAAGCATTTCCACAGCATAGAATGCCTTCGAGAGTTAATCCTGGTTTGCTTTTCATCTCCAGAATGTAGAGTGGGTGACAGGAAAGGTTCCTTTGACATGGCCATTTTCTTCTATCCCAAAGCTACGAAAGGAGATGAGCATGGGTGGGATGTCTCTCTCCTCACTTCTCTATACCGTGATTGGATGAAAGCAAGAGGGGCAAAAGGAATGGCTTTGTCGTCTCCACATTCCATCCTTGAAATGCATTAGACTACATGCAATTTGGAGTGAGACAGAACAGGAATGAATATTATTTTGCCCTAAGGTGGAAGAGTTCCAATGAGAGATGTTTAGAACAGCAGACTTCGAGGGTACCACCTTTTTCGGTTTGAAGGGAAGCCACCAAGGAAGCCATTCGGAGGTCCCCTAAGAATAGACATCCCCAAACGAATGCTATGAGCTCAGGGAAACAGAGTTACTGTTTTGTGTCAAGGTTGCCACGGGATGAAGAAAGAAATTTAGATCATTCCATCCTGGTCCAATCCAAGATGGTACGTGAGGATCTGGAAGAGACATCATACGGACAAAAGAGAGTGGGTTCTTGAGCACCATTTCGTCTAGCTGTCATTCCATTCTTACCACAGAAAGATTCCAAAACAATGTCCTTTCCATTCAATAGATTCCACGGCAGGACAATGGCGAGGTAATGTATGGTCATCACGCTCTCATACCCACCTCCAAGTAACAGCTGCGAGAGGGAGTTTGAAGACAAGAGACATCATGACATCAATCAATATTATTTCTAAGATATAAGCAACGAAAATACAGTGTTCCTTTCCTGTCAAATTTGAGCGGAAAGGACATGACCAGACTTAGCTGCGTGAGAGAGGGATGCGACAGGTGGTGTCGACCCAGCTGGCCCAAGCCATGGAGCTCTGCACGCCACGGCACTGCACCTGTGCCTCGGTCTCTGTGGATTTGGGGGGCGGGGGGGGCAGTTTTTTGGTTTCCTGCGTGTGCCGGGGAAGCACCCGTCGAATTTGAGAAGGCAAGGTGAGAGAGGCGAGCTTGAAGATCTGCCAGTCTTCACCGAGCATTTCTTGAGCGCACGAAACTTGCAAGTGGGGGATTAGGGGATGGCATCAAGACCGGGGTCTTCAGCCTGCCAGGGCTTTCGGTTCTTGAGCGTTGGGTCTGAGATACGTCAGCTTTTGAGGGTAGAATTCAGGTGATTGGGGATTCGGTGCTGAAGCATGGGGAGTTCGCCAAAGCGCCAGTCCATTGCCAATGTCGGGCACCTCGCCACTCTGCAATCGAAGCAAACAACATGGCTATTGGCCTTAGGCTTATGAAGATAGATCTGTTGGCCTGTCAGGTTCCTGAGAGCACGCTTGACACAGACTTGTGCAATTATGGTATGGTATCCAGCGGAGATGCAACCATACTCCGCATGCCAGAAGAAACATGATGCGGATCGTGCATGATCTTGCCAAGCAAACTCATATTGTGCGTCCAATCAGAGGATATGTTTGACAAACACACATGTCACATGTTGACCACCAAGCCATGTTGATGAACTCAAAGCCGCCAATCATTGACGAAGCAAGCACTAGGGAGTTGTCCTTGAAGATATGACCTTCAGCCGCCAATTCGGCAACTTTTGGACTGAATGGGCATTTGTTGCAACCAGATCGCATGCCATGACTTGCAGTGGTGCCGAGTAACCCTTCAGATCTGGATTGGAATGGATGTAACGCCCCTTGTGGGTAAATGGGAAACCCCGCCAGACCGGGCTCACCATGGAAAGCTGATTTGTGGTGCCCCGTTCTCTTTTTTGAGAGTCCCGAGGCACCGAGGCGATGCCGCAGATGCGGTTTTTGCGTTACGTCAACGGCGGCTGGCTGCCGCCCCATGTGGACTTAGCACGGAAGGAGCGTCAAAGACACACACACACACACAGTGACAGAAACACACACAAGCAAGCAAACAAGAACAACACACGCACACATACACATACACACACAGAGGCACACACACACACAGACGCAAACACGTCACACACACAAACACACACGTGCGCAGAGACACAGACACACAGGCACACAGACACACCCAGAGACACACACACACACACATATGCGCAGAGACACACAGAGACACACAGACACACGGAGACACAGACACACACACAGACACAGACACACGCACACAGACACACGCACACACACACACACCCACACCCACACCCACTCCCACACACACACACACACACGCACACGCACACGCACGCACACGCGCACACGCACACGCACACACACACGCACACGCACACGCACACGCACACGCACACGCACACGCACACGCACACACGCACACACACGCACACACACACGCACACGCGCACACGCGCACACGCGCACACACGCGCGCGCACGCGCGCGCACGCGCGCGCACGCGCACACACGCGCACACACGCGCACACACGCGCACACACGCGCGCACACACGCGCACACACACGCGCACACACACGCGCACACACACGCGCACACACGCGCACACACGCGCACACACGCGCACACACGCGCACACACGCGCACACACGCGCGCACACGCGCCCACACGCGCGCACACGCGCGCACACACGCGCACACACGCGCACACACGCGCACACACGCGCACACACGCGCACACACGCGCACACACGCGCACACACGCGCACGCACGCGCACACACGCGCACACACGCGCACACACGCGCACACACGCGCACACACGCGCACACACGCGCGCACACGCGCACACACACGCGCACGCACACGCGCACCCACGCACAGCGCGCACCCACGCGCCACGCACGCCACGCACCACGCACCGCACGCACGCGCACGCCCACGCCCACGCACGCACGCACCCACGCACCCGCACCCACGCGCACGCACGCACGCACGCACGCACGCACGCACGCACGCACGCACGCACGCACGCACGCACACACACGCACGCACACGCCGCACGCGCGCGCACGCACGCACGCGCACACCACCACCACGCACGCACGCACGCACGCACGCACGCACGCACGCACGCACGCACGCACGCACGCACGCACGCACGCACGCACGCACGCACGCACGCACACACACACACACACACACACACACACACACACACACACACACACACACACACACACACACACACACACACACACACACACACACACACACACACACACACACACACACACACACACACACACACACACACACACACACACACACACACACACACACACACACACACACACACACACACACACACACACACACACACACACACACACACACACACACACACACACACACACACACACACACACACACACACACACACACACACACACACACACACACACACACACACACACACACACACACCACAAACACACCCACGCACACACACACACACAAACACACCCACGCACACACACACAAACACACCCACGCACACACACACACACACAAACACACCCACGCACACACACAAACACACCCACGCACACACACACAAACACACCCACGCACACACACAAACACACACACGCACACACACACACACACACACACACACACACACCCACACGCACACACACACACACACACACGCACGCACGCACGCACGCACGCACGCACGCACGCACGCACGCACGCACGCACGCACGCACGCACGCACGCACGCACGCACGCACGCACGCACACGCAGACAGACCCCAAATACCGACAAGCGTCAGAATGGGTTTGCCAAACCCCAGCCAATGTATGACAGGGACGCATCCGCAGCCCCCAACGAATTTGAGGGGGGCCGGATACATGTTCCCGTGGGTGCAAGGGGAATGGAGCAGCCCTGGAGCCCAACTAGATTCTAGATGCGGCCCGCAACGTGGGTCATTTGTGTGCCAGCTGGGTTGCTGGTGTCGGGTTTGAGGCGACCCAGTGACTGGCTGCCATTCGCAACACCCAAGTAGCTGCAACAACTCAAAACTTGTTAAAACAAGCATGGTGAGAAGGAAAACCAAAAGGAACACCCATTTCGGGCTCAGCCGCAGGTTTGCACTTCTGGTCTGCCGCAGGTCTTTTTGTCCTTTGCTCGGTCATTTGCTGTGAGTTGCTCTGACTGGGCAATGTCATGAGAAATTCAGACTGTTTTGCGCTGATTCTTGCTGCTTTAATTGGTCAAGACACTGCTGCGCAATGCCCAAAGCTTCCCTTTAAACCTATCTAACATGAAGGTCCCCCATTTTGAGACAAATATACAGCTGATATCCAAGGGACCGTGTTTTCTTCGGCAGGACTGGCGCAGTGGCCAGCGGAGCACTCACACCTTCATCCTCTACGTCGCTGGAGGTGGGATTGCGGGGTCTGGGCTCTTGCGTCTCTGGGTCTGTGCTTTGTGGGTCTGGGGCCTGCAATCGCTCTGATCTATCTCCAGGTGTTTGAAGGTCCCGTGCCATGACAATGTTCAGTACGGATGACTCTCAGTTGACAAGTTGGGTTCAGCGCCTCCGCCAACGGAACCTTTTGGCCTCTCGCCGCAGATGCCGCTGGCGGGGAGACGGTGCTGCTTGGGAGCCTGGAGGCGGCGGAGCCGCTGGTGCAGGCGCTTGCGTGGGGGGGGGGGCGGTTCCGGCGTCCGCGTCGCCAGCAACCCAACAAATGAAGCAGGTTGCAAAATAGACTCATGGAGACCCATGGCCAAACATACGACGTGCCATGGGAAAATGTTTGTTTAGGAGGCTATGACCCTGGCCAGTTGTTTTGATGGCACACCGACCATGGGCGTTGGGTACTATTTTGGGGCCCAAAGCACCCTTTGCCCAGGCGGATGTTGGCTTGCGTCAAGGAGTTCCAGTCTGCTTCTCCTTGAGCAACGTTGCTTGTTCTCTTCGATGTTACCATTTTACCTGCAGAACGAACGAGCTAAGGGTTTTTTACCCCCGAGGAGGTCTCTTTGCTTGACGGGCTCATTCCACTGAACCACATGCTTCGAGCAGGTCCTCCCGCACTCTGCGAAACCCTTCAGCGGGATCAACTCCAAGCCAGGAGGCTGCCTTCCGTGCCACATTTGTGTTTGGGGCCGACAGCAAGCGACCAGCCGAACAGCCAACAGCAGAAAGTTGAGTGAGGGATCGCCATGAAGCCTGGGGACTCGGCTCGTGTTCTATGGACTGATTTGAGAGGGTCTTTTGGCTGATTCAGGTCTCTTTGACTTCCCTTCGCTTTTTTTCCTGCTTTTCTTATCGACCCCGTGGCCATGTTTTCGAGGTGACGCCTGTGCGTGGCCGGCTGCTGGTGTTCCCGCACGACTGCCCGCATCAAGCTTGGGGCCCAGGGGAGCCGCAACCAGCTGGAGAATGGGCTTCCCCTTGGTTGAATTCGAAATCAATGCTCGTTGTTCAGAGGACAAGAGAGAAACACAACAAGGGGGGGAACTCTACAACCAGCTGGATGATAGGGTGTAAACTGGATGAGTAAGCCTTTGGTTGAAGATGAGTTGTTTGCAGGAGAAAAAGAGAGACAAACACAGAAAGAGAGCCAGAGAGCGAAACAGAGCCGTCGTTCGAAGCGTTGGAGCCAAGAAGCAGACACGTGGTGTGTACGCCACCTCGAGAATCCGCAGCTTTCGCAAGAAGTACCTCGTAAGGATGTTCTTGACTTCTGTTTGCTTCTTAAATCCATCTTCAGGGGGCGGACATCTGTGACATGTCTCCCTGGGTCAGAGCCATGCGCTCGACTTCGGGTGAAAAACATCTTGAGTTCGCATGGGCCACTTTGGAGCTGTGACAGGCCTTGCCGGTGGAGAAGACAAAGCTGCTTCTCCGGGGTGAGATGCGGACATCTGTTAAAAAGGGATGCGACGGTCGAGCCTGGTCGCCAAGTTTGGTGAGAGTTGGCTGGATCTCCGAGGTGCTTTTATGGGTTTCTGCGCTTTTGTATGGCCGTGTCTCAGTCTTTTCCCAGCCTTTCATTGGTCTCAAGGCTTTTGTCTATGGTTTGCAAGATCTTTTGCCTCGAAGCCTGGTTGGAATTTGCCGCCAGCCGCCTCAAGGAAGAAAATAAGCAGGAGACGTGGCTTGAGAACGCTTTACCTTGTTGTGAACTTTTCTGCGAACCTGTCACAATCCATAACGAAGTCAGCCAGAGAGAGCTCACATTGAGAATTTCTTTGGAGTGTTTCCAAGCTTTTCCGCCATGCCTCGTGGGCCAGGGAAGAGGCCAGCGGGATTTGCAGTAGCCTCGGGTTGCTTCCCCATTCCCAGGAATCCTTCTGTTCAGGCAGCCACCAAGCCGTGGCAGCCAGCACATGGCTTGCTGAGAAGAACGATGGTTGAGAAAGTGCAAAGCAAATGAGACATCGATCAGAGTCCCAGCAAAACCATAGGCAGTTAGCTACCTCGCTTGCATCGCGAGAGGGCATGGGTCTTGCAACTTGTCTTTCCCTAGGAGCAACTACAACCTGGACTACTCCCGTCCCGGACTCGATCCGTGGCACAGCATTGGGTCTTTGTTGGCGTCTGCCAACCACTTTTTGGGTTTTATCGTTTTTTTGGTTTGGTTTGGAACCCCCCATCCATTTTCTCTCCGGCATTAATCGAATGTTTGGTTTGGACAACTTCCATCCACATTGTGGATCATAGGTTTGAGTTGGAAAACCCTTCCATCCACATGAAATCTGTTGCTGGGGGACCTGTTGGGTGCGTTGATCTGGTGATTGCATGTACTAAATAGGGGGCTGTCGCCTATCACCGCATCGAGGCTTCAACTCAGTGGAGAGGCCCGATGGCCAGGCCCGCCTGTCGCATGGGCTGTACTGGATTTGTGCCTTTCAGTTCCCCCCCCAAAAAAATAGTAAAAGGAGAATTCTAGGAATTCTACTTTTATTTGTTTTTCTCCATCAGCAACACAACAAACAGAAAACAAAATCCAGAACAACAAGCAAACAAAATAAATAATCACAACCAGCAACAAAAATATTTAATCACAGCATACAACATTAAATAATTCAAACAAGCATACCAACAAAACAGCAAAAATAAAAAACCATCAAAGAACACAAACTCAAACACACACATCAACAAAAAACAAAGCAACATACCAACAAAAAATATCAGAAGAGTATCAAACAAAATAAAAACAAACAGCCAAAGCACGAAAAAACTGAAGAAGCATACCAAGTCTGAACAACGCACTTTGAAAGAGTCAAGCAAATTAGGAAAAATAAAACATTTCAATCTTTACAAACCATAAGTACAGTATGATTATAACATATAAGATTTTACATGTTATTATTATAGTATGATTATAATTTCAGTACAGGATAATAATATAATTTTTTTTTGTCTTACTTCTTTCATACATCATTTTAAAAATAATATTAATATCTCTCAATGTATTTTGAATATTAAACTTTTTACTTTCAATAAATAATTTGATATTTTCTTTAACATCTTCCCCTTTCTCTTGACTATAGCCCAACATCCATAATATATCATAAACCATGTCATATTTTTTCTTACTGATTTTAAGAAACTGTTTAACATAATCATAAGGTGGTATTTTATTTACAGTTAGAAATATTAAAATCTCATCTTCTACATTTCTATTATGTCTTCCTTGTATTCTCAACAAACATTTGATTACAAATTGATTATCTCTCCATTCCTGACAATTTTCACATTCGTCTTTTTCATCCATTGAATAATTAATAATATTATTCACTATTTCATTAGGTAAATTCAATTTATACAATTCCATATTTCCTTTCTTGAAGTGACAACAATCATAGCATTTTTTATTGATATAATTATTGATTTTATCACCGTTCATTTTCCTCTTATTATATTAAGGCACTATTTCTTTAAGTCATTTTTAAGGCATTAAGAAAAATTAAGAAACTAACCATAAGTTTAGTATAATTATAACATATACTACTTTACATGTTATTATTATATTATGATTATAATTTCAGTTCAGGATAATAATTTAATTGATTTGTCTTACTTCTTTCATACATCATTTTAAAAATAATATTAATATCTCTCACTGAGTTTTTAACATTAAGCTTTTTACTTTCAATACATAATTTGATATTTTCTTTAACATCTTCTCCTTCCTTTTGACGATAAACCAACATCCATAATATGCGGTCTATCATTTCATACTTTTTCTCACTGATTTTCAGAAATGCTCTAACATAACTATAAGGTGGTATTTTATACACAGTTAGAAATATTAAGATGTCATCTTCTACATTTCTTTCATTAAACATTTTAATATCTAAATGATTTTCAATTATTTGTTGATGAAACCTCCAATTTGTACAAATTTTACATAAATCTTCTTTACCCAAAGCATAATAAATAATATTATTTATTATTCCATTAGGTAAATTTAATTTATACAATTCCATATTTTCTTTTTTGAAGTGACAACAATCATAGCATTTTTTATTGATATAATTATTGATTTTATCACCGTTCATTTTCCTCTTATTATATTAAGGCACTATTTCTTTAAGTCATTTTTAAGGCATGAAGTAAAATTAAGAAACAAACCATAAGTATAGTATAATTATAACATATACTATTTTACATGTTATTATTATAGTATGGTTTTAATCAAAGTCATTAGTATTTAAATATTCCTTTGTAATCTTTGGATTTGTTTAAAGTTCTGTTTATTATTTTTAAATGGATATTTTCTATCAGCAAAATCATAAATGCAAAAATATATGCCCCAGTTTCCTAAAACACTTTTAATATCATTTATCACATCACCATACATTAATTTACCTATTATATTGTTCTTCTGTTCATCCTTAATATAATCACATATTTTATCAATTATGATTTTCAATTCTTGGTTTCTTTGTTTTATGTAGTTTAAAAATGTTTCCTTGCAATCATTTTCAATTTTATTATTTGATAAATCATACTCATCAATAAATTTGAATATCATTTTATTATTAAATTCTTCAATTGGTCTTGTTGTTCCAGTTTTGCCACCATAACTAACCTCATATGACTTTTCGTAGTAATATTTAATATCATTATGACATTTTAAAATATATGTTTCGGTATCTTGCAGTATATTTTTTTTTCACTTTTTGATATGTAGGAAATGTATTTAACTTTATAAAACAATATGTTCTTAATGATGAGTCATTATTGAGAAATGTGTTTTCTTCAAGTTCCAATTTGTATTTATCATAAATACATTGTCTCAATGTTGAATGTAAATTACTTTTATGTAAAACTTGCTTTGCATTTCTTAATAAAAACACATTTCTCGCATTCAACATAATTAAAATCACAAATGTTTTTCACAATTGGAATAGGTAAACTTCACTTAGTTAGTCCAGTTTTTTCATTTATTAGTTTACATTTACAACTACTGATAATGTCATTAACTTTTATTTTATTCAAAAAGTCATTAATAATTTCTTCTTGCTCTTTCTTAGTAAATTCAGCCATTTCTATAATAATATATTAAGTCAATATTTCTTTAAGTCGTTTTCAAATAATTTATTTTATAATGGCCGTAAGCAAGTGAGTTTATATTATTTATCCAATATTTTTTGTTTTCATAACTACTAAGAGCAATCTTTTTAGTTGTTATACTAAAAATTATGTGGTTTTTACTTCTAATACTATTAAATGACTTATGTATAACCTCATTAGTTTTTAAAACCGTCTCAAACTCTTCAGATTTCATTTGACGTCTTACTGTGCCTTTTGCTATGCCCTTACATTTCTTATATTCTTTTTCATCACCATAAACTGAGTAAGCGTAGCATTTAGGACGAAGGGCTATAAACCCTGTTATTATTTTACTTTTTAATTCATCCTTAAATTTACCTAATACTTTCTTGTTATTCTCATCATAACATTTATGTTCCTTAGGATAATCTGAGAAATCTATTTCTTTTTTAATTGTATTCAGGTCTTCATACATGTCATTGGTTTTAGTATGAAATACAAAACTATCAGTATCAGTAAAAAACAATTTTAATATTATCTCCATATTTAGGTTTCATAAAGTCATAATAAAATTTATACATGTGTTGCTTACTCAAATCTAAAATACTCATCCCAATAAATATAGGTTTGTCTAGTTTCAACTTTGTTTTTTGCTTTTCAACTCCAACCAAATTCTCATTAATGATATGACTATGTTTGAAGTTAGGATTACTTATACACTTCATATATCTAGTTTCATCACTCACAACTTCAAAGTCTAAATGTTTTCGCTTATCCTCCATTGTTTTTTCCAAATATGGCATTGTTCATCAATTTATAAACATCTTTCTCAAAATCATTTCTAGCATTCTTCCTCTTCTCTGTGTTAAACTCAATGTAAGGTTTTAAAACTTCTTTTTGTTCAAATTTAATTGCTCTATGAATTTTCTTAAGTTTTAACCCCTGCTTCAAATAAAATTGTAAGGTTCTTATATGGATTACATATTTTTCTTTATCATTTAAATTCAATACTAGTTTATTTGTTTTCTCATCCGTAGGTTTTTTATGATTTAAAAATTCATAAATTTCAATTTGTTTATCTGACAGCATGTTGGCTTTAACATTCATAACCTCAGGTGCCATTGGATAGTCATTGTGTAAATCGTGTAATTCTTTAGGATATTCTAAATCCACTTCTAGAATATATCCAATATTATTATTCTTATAATTAATTATGTCTTCTTCTTTTAATGTATCATCCCATTTTAGATTTTTATATGGCAGTTTTTGTATCATGCTTAACCCATACAAATTATTAGCGTCTAAATAGTTAATATAACTACTTTCTTTCTTTTTATCATAATCTTCTC